CTGACCTGGCCACATGTAATAGCTATTGCCAGCAAAATACCCTCAGCAACGTGGAATTCTGATAGCAAATTCTCTGTTGTATTCTAACAGATTTTCAATGGACAATTTAATAATAATGAAAAGATTAGCAAGATGAATTTTGGTTTACGTTATAAAAGAATAGGTAGAATGTTCTTCAGAGCACGCTAATACTGTGAGATGGGTTACTTGTTATAAATGCTGTTATTTTTAGTTTGTTTGATGTTGCACGAGTGGTCGAGGTGCTGCGCAAAGCATACAGCACCTGGAAGAGACCCAGCTTCATGAATCGTAATAACATTGCCCTAAGAAGGAAAATCTGTGTTCTGCACTGTGCATGTCTGTGGGCATGTAAAAGTGTCTTAGAGGCGAAACACAGCAGGTGTCATCTCAGAGGCTTAGCTGAAGCTTTAATGCTTTCAGATGTTCCTTAGGCATTTCTTTCCATTTCTGTTACAATCTCTTCTACTTGTAGGGATTTGCAACCCTGATAAAAGAGTGGCCTGGAGATCTCTACAACAACACAATCATAGTTCAAGCTGTAGTGGATCACCTGAAGAAAGATCCACAGAACAGGACTTTGCTACGAACACTTGCAGAATTGTAAGTACAATTTCAAACACCTGTTAGAAAAAGTAAGCTTGAAATACTATACTCTAGTTTATAAATATTTGCCCAACTCTCTTAACAGAAATATCTGCTTTGCAGCAGTCTAGTGAGTATTAGCTTTCTCTGCTGTCTGCTCTGCTGATTGCACAGCTTAGCAATTCTTTTCCCTTCCTTATAAAGTGTATGCTGAGTGTGAAAGCAAAGAGTTGAGTATAAGATTGGATCTGCTATTCCTCTTTCCAAAGCAAGTAGCTAGCATTCCTCTTTATGCTGTCAGAGGAAGCCTCTTTTGTGAAGCGTGTATTTCAGAGTTACCCACAGGAAAATAAAATGATGGGTTTTTTCCCCACTATTTCAGAAGTTGGGTATTTAGGTTTACTGTGTGACTGGAAATGTGTGACTGGAAAATGCACCAAAACTGAGCTGGTTCTGGGCTGTGTCATACAGCGATAAAGCTCTTTGGTTTTCTCAGCCTGATTCCCATGTTAAGTTCCTTTCATACTGCTGCTTTGAAGAAAGCAGAGCTTCTGTCAGTTGCTATTTTACAGTCTGTCCCAAAGTTTTCAGAGAACAATTTTTTTTTAGCTCTGAGGAGAGTTCCAGTTAGTTTCCAAAACCAGAAAAGCTAGCATTTCGTGTGGTTTTCCCTATGATTTTAAAACAGGAAAACTAAAATGCGGAGAACCACAGGTCAGAACACAAATGTGGTGTCTTATATAAACAGAGTTGAAATTGATGTTGCCCAGTGTTTTATTTCCTTTTAACAAAAGTGAATCACAGCAACTATGTAGATATTCATCAAATCAAGTAGCATCCTAACAAGTTTTACATCCTAGAGTATGTTTATATTTTCCTTCATAGGTAATTTTCCTACACTTACATGTAAGATCATGTGTACTGTAACATTGTTTTGTATCAGGTATACTTATGACCAGCGCTATGGCAGAGCCCTAGAAATTTACCTAACTCTGAGGCATAAAGACGTCTTCCAGTTGATCCACAAGCACAATCTTTTCAGTTCTATCAGAGACAAAATTGTTCTGCTCATGGATTTTGATTCAGAGGTATGGTGATCTTTATGATTTTATATTCACTTTCCACTAGAGATATTTTAAGAGATTAAAAATAAATGAGCTAAAGATAGTGTTGAGGCAGAGAGTGTTTGCTGTGTCTGGATACATTCTGAGGTAAGGAAGAAGATACTTGCCTAGACGGCAAAATAATTGACCCAAGGATGACTTTTTTCCTTTGTATTTCCATTTGAGTATCACTTAAGATGAGAAGAGTGCCAAATCTGAGATTATTTTTGTGATTCTCAAGTAGGTTTTCACCTGATATAATTTCTGCATAAATTTCTGCATAATATTCTAATAAAATAATGCTATTAATAAGCCAAGAAAGGAGGCAGAGAATATATTGAGGAATATGTTAAATACACTTGCCACTTTTCTTTCACTGTAGTCAATTAATAGAATAGAAGAGATTGGTAGGTCCCTTCCAACTCAACTACGATCATCTAGTCCCACTGCCTGACTATTAAAGGGCTCAAAGTTAAGGCGTGGCTTTAAGAGCATTGTCCAAGTGCCTCTTAAACACTGACAGGCTTGGGGCATCAAACACCTCTCTAGAAAGCCTATACCAATGTTTAACCACCCTGTCAGTTAAGAAATGCTTCTTGATGTGTGGTCTAAAGCTCTCCTGGCACAGCTTTGAACCATTCCCACATGTCCTGGCATTGGGTACCAGGCAGAAAGAGATCAGCATCTTCCTCTCCACATCCCCTCAGGAAGCTGTAGAGGGCAATGATCTTTCTTTAGACCTTCTCTTGCTATTAACATCCTTTAAAAAGCATGATTTTGTTATCTGAAACAACACTGGCCAGTTTCAACTCTAATTGAGCCTATCTTCCATGTCTTCTCCCTGCATATACAAACCACAGCTCTGTACTCTTCGTGTGAAGCCTGGTCTCACTTCCAGAGATCGTACAATTTCTTTTTCCTCTTGAGCTTCATGAGGAGTTCCCTGTTAAGTCAAGCTGGTCTTCTACCCCACTTGCTTGACTTAAGATGCAGTGGAATTTCCTGCTCCTGCGCTTCTAAAAGGTGTTTCATAACAAGTGACTGACACTCGTGAACTCCTAAGCCCTCAAAAGCAGATTCCTAGGGTATTCTGCTAAATAACTCCCTGAATAACTTAAAGTTTGCTCTCTTGAGGTCCAGGGTAGCAACTCTGCTGTCTTTTTTTCTTATGACACTGAAAGTTTTAAAATCAACCATTTCATGATCACTGTGGCCAAGACAGCCACTTACCATCACATTCCCCACAAGTCCTTTTCTAGTCAGAAACAGCAAGTCTAGGAGGGCGTCTTTCCTAGTTGGCTAACTGAGTACCTGTGACAGAAATTATCTCCTACAAACTTCAGGAATTTCCAAGACTTCCTCATCACAGCAGTAGGATATTCGCAGTTCATGGCTGGGAAGTTGAAATCTCCTGTAAGGACAAGGGATACCAATCCAGAAATTTCTCCTAATTGCCTATAGAATAACTCATCAGTTTACAACTCATCATGTTTACATCCTGGCTGGGCTATCGGTGGTAGACACCCACTGCAACATCTCCTTTGTGTTCCACCTCTCTGATCTTCACCCAGAGACTCTACACCACATCATTACTAACTGTAAGGGCTGTGCAGTCAAATCTCTTCCTTATCTATAGTGTGACAACTCCACCTCCCCTGCCCTGCCTAGCTCTCCTGAACAGCCTTGCATAGCGCTCCGTCCCAGCACTCCAATCATGGGACTTGTTCCACCAAGTCTCCCTAATACGAACGATACCGTAGCTCTAGGAGCTCACCAGCACTTCCAGTTCATCCTGTGTTTCTCATGCTGCCTGTGCTGGTGTACGAGCATTTCCTGAGCCCTCTGTGCTCCCAGGAGCACTGTAGATGTTCCCAGTAGCACTGCCACCTGCAGGCGATGCTGTGCCAACCCTTGCCTTACCTACTGCAATCCTGTTGGTATCTCCTTCCCCCATTGATTCTGGTTTAAAGCTCTCTCTGAATCCTGCCAGCTTACACCCAAAGACAATGTTTTCCTCATCCAGACAGGTGGATCCCGTCAGGCCCCAGCATACCTTGTCTCTTGAAGGCTCTTCCATGATATAAAAACCCCAAAGTTTTGGCAGAGGCACCAGCACTGGAGCCAGATATTGGTATCCTGGGCTAGCCTGCTTCTTCTGAAGTCTCCCTCCATTACTGGGAGGATTGAGGAAAAGGCTACCTGTGCTCAAGAATTACTTTTTTTTTTGCTTCTGAAAGTTTGCAAGGTTATTTATTAACTTAAATTCCAAAAATAAGAAGTATGTGTTATGTGCTGAATTCAGTCTTCTTTCTTCCCAGATGGCTCTAAAACCTCAACAAATGAGTTTTGGTACAATCCTTGAGGTAAAACCAGGTAGATCTGCTCTTTCAGTGCAGTGGTGGTTTAAGCATTTGGAGGTAAAATATGGAGCCATCTGTACCAAAGACAATGATAATTTTTGGTGTGCCCATTCTAAACTACATGGGGGGGAAAAAAAGAGTATAGTTCTTTTTTATTAAATAGAGTAAATCATATCAGGAGTCTGTGGTTTTGGAACGTGAAGCAAAGTCGGCTTTTCTAAGGGGAAGCAGAAGCAGAGTCTCGGTTGCCTTCCTGCTTACATGATCATGTCTGCTTGTGTTACAGTATCCATGTGCAGTTAGTTTGGAAGGATCCAGCTGTAAGGCAAGTGTAGTTGTGTGCTTCCTACGTAGCCATCACCCTGCAATTCCCTTTTGCAATGGGACAAACAGTATTTCTACGTTGTTCGACAGTGGCCTTCTGTGACCCGTTATTCGATGGGCAAACTTCACCTGCACTATGAGTGCACAGTATGGATTGCTATTAGTGGGAAACTTAGGATAAGTATTCTGGAAGAACAGATGATACGTTCTCCTGTAATGCTGTGCTGTCAGGGAATGCTGATGTTATGCAAACTGCTCCCTGAATTACTGTTGCTGAAAAGAGTAGGTCTGCAATGTTCATCTGATACCCATCGGTGAACAAGCATAATACTATATAGATGTGAGAAGATGTGTGTACCTGTTACTTAACTGGACTCTCTCTTTCTTTGCTTTAGAAAGCAGTAGACATGCTTCTGGATAACGAAGATAAAATTTCCGTGAGTATAACAAGCTGATGGCATGGCAGTCCAGTGCTTGCTTGTATTACCTGTCCTTCTCTCAGTCCTGTGAATGTGGTGTTCATCATAGGTTTGCTTATCTGCTGTGTTTTGTTTGTTCTCTTTCAGATTGACAGAGTTGTTGAAGAATTAGAAAACAGGCCTGAGCTACAGCATGTGGTAAATATTTCTATATTCTGTTGGTTTCAAGTTGAGCTGAAAAAACTCTTTGCCAGGCACATCTCTTATAGATGTGGTTATCCTGCCAAAGTGCACATGACACTATAATGTCATAAATCACCCGAGCCAACGTGGTTACTTTGCTAATCTATTTTTTAATGTGGCCATAGCATTTTTACAACAGTAAAATAATTTTAAAATGTGTACTTGTGAGAATTTGAGAAGATGCTGCTTACTTGTTAACATACCATGAGATACTCCTTTTGGCATTGCAGACACTTGTCTTCTCTGGTCGATTACTTGCTGCTTGTATCCCTTCTCTTTGCCTACGCAAAAATGGGATTGGATGTTGGGTGCAGTTCTGAAGCACGTTTTGCTGATCCATAGAGGCAGTGAACTGCTTGTCTTTCTAGAGCTGTAAATTCCACACGATGCAGCATTGTTCTTGTTTGTGCCGAATGACAATATCCCTGTAAGGCTGTGCCTCCACATTGCTATTCCAAAAGCACCTCTTCAGTTTGAATATGGTGTCAGCGGAATATGTAAAATGTAGCTGTGGACTCGGGCTGTGTCAGGGAGGGAAGTTTAACTTGCTGCTGTGTACAGGTGGGGCTCAGGGCATCGATCTGGTGGCGAGTGGGTTTATGTGTTAGAGATGAGATTTTAGGCAGCGGCTCTGCGAAGTGTGCAGCCACGGCCCAAGAGCTTTGCAGAGATGACTGACTGACTGTTGGTTTATGGAAGGGATGCATCAGTTTCAAATTGTGAAACTTGGTGCAAAAATTGACTCTCCAGATCATTCTCAAAGCTTTTCTGGGCTCATCTAGAGGGAAGGACCTTTGCCCCAGTA